CGGTCTCGCGACCCCGCCCCTCGCCCCGCCTCTCGCCTCTGATTCCCCGAGCACCTCCCGGCCTGGGGTGGGGGCGCTCCGACCGGACGGGGGCGAGCACGTGCCTGATGCAATTCAGGAGAGGGGGTTGGCAGTCAAGGCGGCCGGAGAGAAGAGGGGGGAGTGGGAGGGGAGGCGGGGGAGGAGTCTTAAAGGGCCAGCGCGTGAGAGCTGCCGCAGGTGGAGCACATGGGATCGGGCCACGCGGCCGGCGGGCCCAGTTCTTCAGGTTGGGGATCGGATTTGGGGCATTAGCCGTAAAAGTCACCCCCGCCTTCCAGATTGCTGATGTGGGGTCCGCATTCGCCCTGAAGACGCGCGGACATCTCTCCCCTCCCCGCGCCCCTTAATCCTGCCCCCTACAGGCCCTGTCCTGGTGACCTTGGGCTAGTATCCATGACCTCCGCAGCCCACGCTGAGTTCCTCCCCTCAGCGCGAGGCAGGACGCTGCGTGGGTATCAGGTTCGACTCTGGGCTCTGTGGGCAGGCCCGTACCCCTCAGGCGTTGTGGGCCACTTGGAAGTGGAAGTGGAGTCACTTAAGGCCCCAGCCCAGCAAGCCCCAGACCGAGTATCTGTAGGCAGAAACCGTCTTTCTTGCAAGTGGATTTTAACTTTTTTAAATAGTTGCTCTTGGAGAGTCGAACTACCAAGGATATTTGAGATATTATCCTGGTCTTCCTTTCCCCTCACCTACCTCTTACGGTAGTCACTTCCTGCTCCATGGAGCTCAGTTTCCCTAGTGTAATACGAAAGAACGGTCGGTGACTGTAGTTACTCACTTTAATACATTCCATTTACCGACCCCGCTATGGTGACCCCTATTCTGCTGAGATTCGTGGTTTGGTAATAAACCAGGTTAAAAAGGTCCCTGCCCTCATGGCGCTTATATTCTAATGTCAGGGAAAAGATTCATACACACAAATGAAGTAATAAACCAGAATGGATTTGTCCGAGTTTGGATTAGGGAAGACCTCCCTGCCTGGATGCGGATTCCAAAGTGTTTGAAATCCGCCATGGTCTGGAATTGAACCCAGGAAGCTGTATGTCTTCTTAAGTGGTCCCACACTTCCAGAAGTTCTGGTCTGTGCTTTCTGACGATGCTCAAAAGTTTAACAGGACTGTAATCTCACCTGTTGAAGGCATAAAAACCAGGATGTTGGTAGTCTCCAAAACAAGGAGCTGCTAGACAGGGGCTGAGTGTTTATTAGAGAAAACTCTTGGAACTGCTCCACACCCCCACACCCCCCAAATTTGGGTTACATGTAACCAAAGGTGCTAGGGAGAAGTGCTGGTTCAGGTAGCCAAGCTCCCCTAACTCAGACTCCACCAGCTGACTATTCCCCCCAAGGCCCCCTTTTCTGATAAAGAAATGAGAATAATGCCTGACTTGCTTTCATCTCTGGGCTTTTGTAAGGGAGCAAATGAAAATGTTATGTAAATGACAGAGACTGAGGATGAGCCCAGTGCTTCAAAAAGAGGTGACAAGGGGGGGTTTCCATGAATTTAAGCAAGAGTCTTCATGATTGCATTATATCCTCTCATCAATTATGGATATGGGTAGGTTTTAACACCAGGGTGCTGAGTTGGTGAAATTAGTGTAATACAAAAATAGAGAATGACCACATCAGATAACAAAAAGGGAGGATAAGGACTTCATTAAATAATAACTCCCAGGGCGAGGGGAGGAAAAAAACCTCCAAACCACTGAGAATCATGGCCTAGTCTACTTGAAACATAACCTTAACCATCCCAGTCAGCGTTACTCTTGCCTCACATTATGGCATTTATTACTGCCAGACTTCACGTTGTTAGTAAGCAACCTAAGTTGTTAATAGTCAGATAGTACATTTTTATTATTGTCATACACACAAAATGTTGGATAACCAAATACTTGATAAGTGAGGAAAAGATCTATATCTTCCCTTAATTAGAAGGTAGTTAAGGTAATTAAATATTGGTAAATATTTCCAAGGGGGTGGTAGTGAAAGTGGTGGCTGGAAATTGTTTAAGACTCTCTCAAACTGAATCGACCTCACTGCCATTAAGTCAATGCCCACTCATACTGGCCCTACAAGACAGGGTAGAACTGCCCCAGTGTGTTTCTGTGACTGTAACTCTCTAGGGAAGTAGAAAGCCCCATCTGTCTCCTTCAGAGCAGCTGGTGGTTTTGAACTACTGAAGTTGCAGTTAGCAGCCCACTGGTAACTAATATGCCATCAAGGCTCCTTTGACCTTCTGAAGACTTTGTAAAAGGAGATATCATCATCATTGTAGATTGTTCTTTTTTATATTTCTGTAATTGGGTATATACCCCCATACAAGTTGTCATGGCCAGTTCTATATCCACATAGCATTAGCAAGTAACTGGCTAATACTGGCCCACCCCCACCCCCACCCCCAGGCAGCCAAACACGCTGTGTAGAGGTTGGAAGGGCACCGAGATCCATATACCCAGAAATCAAAACCTCCAAATGCATTCTCATTGAGTTGATTCCTACTCAAAGCAACCCGATAGAACAGAGTAGAACTGGCCCAACAGGCTTCCAAGACTATGAATCTTTTCCGGAGTGAGAAAGCCACAGCTTTCTCCCATGTACATCCAGAAAAGGGCCCATGAACATTCATGTGCCAGTTTACAGATGGGAAAATTAGATCCAGAGAAGGTAAGAAACCTATGTAAGACTTTATCTTGGATTTAGAGGCTATTGGAGCTGGAAGGAAGGACCCCTGGTTGTATAATGGTTAAAGTACTCAACAGATAGCCTAAAGGTTGGTGGTTCAAACCCACTAGCTGCTCTGCTGGAGAAAGCTATGGATCTGCTTCTGTAAAGATTGACAGCCCCCAGAGGTTCCCATGGGTGAAGAAGGAAGGGCTGCTGCTTTGGGAGCTTTTAGTTTATGTTAATGATGGTAAAATAATTTGAAAAAGGATATCAGCAATGGTTGTACAACGTGAAGAATATAATCAATGGCACTGAAAAAGTTGTTAGATTGGAGGATGTTGTGTATATTTTTGCCACAATGGAAAACACAATTACATGAATAACAATGAGTACAAGGAAGAAGAGAACATTCTAGACTTGATTGTGGTGATAATTGTACAACTCTTCTGGATAACAATTGAATTATTGAATTGTATGACATGTGGATAAAGTGCCAATGAAACTATTTTAAAAAGAAAAAAGACTCCTTGGAAACTGTGTGAGGCACCTCTACTTTGTCCTATAAGATTGCTATGGGGTGGCAGTCGGCGTGGGGGGTTTGATTAGACCTGGAAGGCAGAATTTTAATGATTATTTAATCTCCATGTGTTGCAGGTGTGAAAGCTGAAGTTCAGAGAACTAAAGTTCTTCTCCAAGGTCACACAGCTAGTTAATGGCAAAGCCAGGCCTCACACCTTAATCTTGATCCCAAATCCTGGAACTTTTCTACCTAAAATTATGGAACGGAGATTTTAATCCAGTTGTTTTGATTCCTGGACTACTGTGGCATTTCATATGACTGAATTCATTTCTAAATATTAATAATGACCAAATAATTCAAGTATTAGCACGGGATTACTAACTATAAGGAGGAGGTTCAAAACTACCCTCAAATGCCTCGGAAGCCAGGCCTGGCAACCTGCTGTCAAAGGGTCACAGTACGGAAACGCTAGGAAGTGGTTGGACTCTGTCCGGAAGTCAGAATAAACCCGATGAGGGCTAACAACAAGGGCCACTTTTACTGAACAATTACTGTGGTAGGTTTGGTGAAAAATACGTAGTATTCATGATCTCATTTGATTTTCACAAATAACTTAAGGTTATGGATTGAACTGTGTCTCCCAAAAATAAGTGTTAGAATCCTGTGACGCACACACGCCTTAATCCTATTTGGGAACAGGGTTTCTTTGTTATACTAATGAGCCTCTGTCAATGTAAGGTGTGTTAAAGAGACCCTCTGAGTTATAAAAATAATAGATTAGACACAGAAATATGCACAAAAAAGGGGGGACAAAAGTAGCTGTTACTTAGATATCACCCAGAAACAGAGGCTGAAAGAGCCAAGACCTTCCCCAGAGCCGACAGACTTCCTCCGGTGTCATCAGTGCCCTGGATTCAGAGTCGCACCTTCCCGACTGTGAGAAAATACATTCCCACCTCTTAAAGCTACCTACTTGTGGTCCTTCAGCTACAACAGCATGAAGAAATGAAAGCACTCAGT